GCTTTCTGTTGTCAGATGCAGCATATACCAGCCTTAGCTGAGAAATACAGCAATGAAAAGACAAAGAGAGGTTATGAAGAAAAAAAAAGAAAGAGAAACAGAGTTAAAAGTGGGGGTTTACATGGTTGGGTCGCTTCCTGTAGCTATAGCAACCACTGGTACGCTAGTCCAATCACCACGCCAAAGCCTGGTTGCTAGGGAGAGAAGCGAGTGCGGGAGGCAACGGGACTTCTCCCCAACGGCTCTCCACGATGCTCGATACTTGACAGGGATTCATTCTCTGCTTGTCCACGTCCAACATGACTGTACTGAAGGATTTTCACCCAATATCACCTTGCTTTTAGTCTTTAAATGTGTGCGTATGTGAGTGTTAAATTGTTGGTGTTTCCGAGCAAAAAATATCCTGCTCTGTGTCAGACAATATCCACAACCTTCATCTCCGGATGCATTCAGAAGTGGTGACACATTCCTTGCAATTTCATTTTTAATCTTTTCCCCGTTTCCATTCATCCTTCTTCACTATTTAATGAATCACTCATCAGCCCACAGACGTCCTCAGCATCCTGATTGGCTTGAAGAGACTCCAGTGAGCACCCATCTGTCTCCAGCCAAGGACCACTGCTAAGTAACTGCTCTTGAATTTCGGTTTCAGCTTCCACCGGCTGGCTTTGTTGACATCATCTTTGTCAATCCTTTTGGGCTACATTTGACAGTATTAGTATGAAAGCATCGACCAAGAAATTCTTCCAGAGGAGACATATCCTCATTTTCCAGTGACCTATTGAATGCTGCCCCATCATGACCACACTCTGAACAGCATTACTTGCTTTGATAACTTGCACCATTTGCCATTCTGGCCAAAAACTCAGTTGCTACTGTGTTCAGCATGTGTTTTGTGTGATGCTATGAGGAAATTGTATTTTCTTAATTGCAACCACCTTTTGGCCAGGTATAGAATATGTCTCATGTATACGTTTTCAAAATGAAAGCAACAGTGTGTCCACAGAGGCCTCGTGGTCACCCTACAACATTTTAAAGCAGAAACCTTAAAGCTGAGACACAAGAAGAGAGAGGGGAGGTGTCTGGACTATTTTAGGTTTGTAGCCTGGGCTGACTTGAGATGGGAATTTTAATTGCGTCTGTTGGCAGCAGATAAATACCCAATCACCCAGACCCCCCGTTGGTGTCTAATCAGTGTAGTTCTAATGACCACAGCTGCTGACACAAGACTGTGTTAACCTCCAATCACTAGGCCCATGATCTCTCACAAGTCCTTGGTTTGCCAGAAACAAGAAACATGGAAAAGTCAAAAGGCTCGTCTTTACTTCTCTGCATCAGCAATCCACTCAGGGATTAAGCAGAAATTGAGCAGAATGCATTTAATTAAGTCTTTGATGGATTTAAAATGTTGCTAAATTAATTTTGGAAGCCAATCGTGGCTAAATCTGATTATGTTTGGTAATGTAGTATAATATATATTCATCTCTTCAAAAGGTCTTATTGTGTATATATTCATCGGGTAGCCACGAAGTCATTCAAAAGCCTTGAGGCATTCGCAGGACAGTGAAACAGACCAGAAAAGGTTCGCTTATTTTTTATTTTTTATTGTTTCATTTGACTGCTGATTTTATGGGTGTATGTTGCTACCACGTGTTGCTGGCTGTGCAGCTTTAACCAAAGCCTTTCTTCCTTGAGCCAACTCAAGCCATGACTCTGCAGGGGCAGAAACTTTAAGTTCTGATCCAACTCCACCCACACTTCTGGCAGCCAAATTGTGGAAGGACTTGGAAGTTTTGCTTTTGGATCAAGAATGAATTTTGACTTTCTGAAATCAAACTTTTTGAAAGTTGTTGAAGAATAGTGCGTTTACCGTCTATTTGAACATGCAGTGGTCTGTGGAATTAAAATGCTGCTCTACTCCAAGGATACACTCTAATACATGTCCAAAAGTAGTCGTGGCATCCTGTTCTGTTTACAAACCCCCAATTACCTCCTCGTGTTCTCTTCAGCTTTTAATTATGAAGGTTTTTTTCCAATAAAATTTACCCAGTTATTTTCATCTTGCGTCCATCAGTCAAACTCAGCAGCAAAATGTAGCTCTAGTGCCGTTCATTTTCTCACACCAAGATAGTAATTGAAAAATTGTTGACATAAGATTAATAAAACAAAGCAGGGCTGCAACTCATCATCATTTTGATAATGGATTAATCTGTTTTGTCAAAAATAGCGATGAATAGCTTTAGAAATCAATTCATTGAATGCGCCATTACTAACATCATCTTTATTACATCGCTCTGGACCGCGGAATAGCTATGCAGGGGTCTCACACACCAACGTGTACTATCAGGTCCTTTTCAACGTCCTTTGCATGCTTCGAACTCCTGCGTGGACCCGCAACTGCCAGTTTATGAACTGTGCCAAGCTGCGTGCGTCTGTGAAAACTCCAATGTTTACCCACTCCTTCGCACAGTTTGACGATGCTTTGCATCAGACTTGTTCTGGGCCTGAATATTGAGCCCTCAGTGTGCAGCTGTTTTCAATGCAACTGCAACAGGAACCATAAAAACAAATTGGGTAAATTGCCAAACTTGGTAATATGAGTGTCCCCAAAACCGAAGACCCTTGAAGGAGCATTCTGACTTTGTCAAGAGCATTCTTGATCAAACACAGGAAAATGTGATATATTCACTTTAGTGTTGTTCAAATAGAATCACATCTCATTTTAGCATTTCCGTTCAATAATCAATCCACAGCTGCCCCCACAAATGCGCCATGAGCCTGATACCCACAACATAATTTAGATGGGGACATGTCTCTACGGCAACCATGGAAAGCTTCTGTTTCCTCTGGTAGCAAAGGACGAGGAAACTCCTTTATAATGCCTCAGCCAATCAATGGAGTAAACATTGTGATTAACCGGAGAAGATCGGACCTTCCAGTCCAGTTTGAGCAGATGCAGCGAGCCAGCTGTGAGTTGGTCAGGCGTCCCATCTGCTAATGAACTGCATGATGCAAAGTGTGAATATTCGATCATTTGACAGTCTGCATAACAGACTGGAAAGCAAAAGGGAGGGAAATGTCTTGAAAACATTTCAAGACACTTTTTTTTTTTTGCCTCTTTCCCTTTTCCACGACTGTATCAGATAGCATGTGATTAAGGTTTTGCTAGGTGCCCTAGTTAGAGGGAATCAAAATGTGGCGGGGACATTTTGAAGGCAGCGGTTGTGAAATTGTTGTTCACACACATTTTTGTGAGCTGCTTTCCCTTTTTTCCACTTTCTACCCTTCTACTGTACTTTTCCAGCCACCTCCCCCTCGATGCCAATGACCTGTCACGATGATAAAAATCCATCATCACATCTCACCATACGCACTGTCACATTTCATCAACCACCCTCTGCATATGCACTCTGCCAGAGCGTCAAAGATGGATTTATGTGTTTCCAACCTTCTGCAGCTGCTAGGACAGTTTTCTTCCTAAGTGAGGGCATATTGATCTTTTATTACACCATTAAGTCATAACACTCCTCTCGTAAACAGTTTGAGATTAAATGAGCCCCTTTGAGGGATTTTACTGTTCTGCGTGTGTGTGTTTTTGTGTAAGCTCAGGGCTCTATTTTTGTGCCCAACACAAGTCTAGCGCAAAGCTGGAGTCGCGGTGGCGTTTTGTGGGCTGTCTTGAAAAAAGATTCAGTTTGTCTCTCATTTTACCAACTTGCATAGTCTCCTCCAGAACTGTGCTCCAGTTCACCAGAAGCATCTCTGTGTTTGTAATGCTCACAATCTGAAAGACTAATAGTTGGAAACAACCATTTTATTATGTATGGTATCACTGCTATATAATGACTATGTCCTATCATAAGAGACAGTCTTGTCATATGACAGTCTGGATTTCATATACGTCACATGTGATCTTCATCAGTGCCACGTGTAACAATTTTTTTTCACCCCCCCAGTATGAGGGTGCAACATCTATCAACTCCTTTTGTTGGTTAACCACAGAAACTGGAAGAAACCAGACACCAGTTACCATTCTGACCACTGTTCTGCAAAACAGGCCTTTTTGCTGTCCTGTTAACCCCAATGGAATTCATTCACAGCTCTATGGCAAAATGCTGAAGGCCAAAGTCTGCTTCGGGTACACCATTTCGAGACAACGCCCACTTGGTATACAAGCATACACACCCACACAAGCAAAGCAGTCTTCCTCGTGTCATTTTTTTGTTGAGGAGAAAGGTTTGGGGTCTAGGGCTTTGTCAGGTTCTTCACATGTGAAGCCGTGCACAGTGACTTTTCCATTATATTTCCTCAAGAGCACAGTTGGATGAGAGAAAACCTCTCACAGCCAATTTTCAAGGCAAACACATGCATGGGAAGCACACAGGTGGATAAAAAGGAAGGATTACATTCACAAAGGATCATGTTTTGCAACAATGTCGAAAATAAATTTGACATGCTATAGGGATAGGCAAAAACGAATGTTCATTGGAAAAATCAATCCATCCATTTTTTGAACTGCTCATGTTTGCTCTAAACTAAATGTTATTCTTTTATGAATTAACGTTATACCAGTGGTGGGTGTTGCCTGAATGAGTTGATACAACACTTTTCAAAGTTCACGGGACTTCACAGGGAAATGTGGCAGCTTTAGAAAACAAAAGAAAATCGTTTTCAGCCAAAAAAAAAAAAAAAAAATGGATTGATTGAGAAAGGAGATCCGTAGAAGGCCGAAACTTTAAAAAGATTTGCACACAATTTTGGTATCTTAATATGAATAAGATCTGTGTATGGTACGCCTTAAGCCATTATTGAGGTTTATGAACGTACTGTGAGATGGTCAAAAATTCGGAACAATTGCTCTCCGTTTTTTAAATATATGTTAAAATGAAAAGCCGCAGTAGTAATGTAAAGTTAACTTGGTACACCTGCGATTTTAAAGATGTTTTGTGGAACCTTTTAATGTACCTCATGATCATACATTTCCATTCATTTTTCCGCAGTGTGTAACTGTGATCTGGCGAGGTCCGGCTTCTTCCAGAAGAAGGGCGAGTACATCTGCACAGCAGACTACCAGCGACTGTATGGCACACGGTGCGACCGTTGCGACAACTTCATCACAGGGGAGGTGGTCTCCGCTCTGGGACGGACTTACCACCCCAAGTGCTTTGTCTGCAGCGTCTGCAGGTACATGTGCACATGCTCGCCATCACACAAGATCGCGGTTGCGACCATCGATTGACAAAAGCCTATGGAATGTATCCTCATTCCTCGCCACCTGCCTTGTGATGCCGCCGGTATGAATATTTTAAGACGAGTGGGGATCGGAATAGCCAAAGCGAACGAGGCTAATTGGTATTCTCATCTACCACCATCTTATTTTTGTACTCTTAGATTTGCGCAGAGGTATGAAGATTGTTTTGCCTTGTCAGCTCAATGTTTCAGCGGTAGGCTATAGTCCAGCGTCAGCAGCCAACAGGGGAGTCGTAAGTCACTAAATTAGCTGATTGCAAGACGGGAGACCAGAAACACGATTAGTTGACTTCAAGCTTTGAATGCTGATGCAGACTGGCCGACGAGTCAAGTAATGGGTTCAACCTCAAGTGTGCGGCGGTCGTAATGTAACAGTATGGTCTAAATTTGAATGCCTCTGACAACAAATATTAACCTTCCCAAGTTGTACGAAACTTTACATTTTGAACTGGTGTTACGATGATGGAGCGCATGTGACCAACAGAATAAGATTGAGTTCAATGTTTCCTTGGCCTGGCACCCCCGTATGAAATGACGCTGCTGGTCAATGTTGTATTTAAGATAAAGATTTTACTTTTCTCAGGTATATTTAATGAAAAATCAGCAACCGTGATTTCCTGTCGCTGAACCACATTTCCAAAAGCGTTTCAGAAAAAGTAGTCCATCACGAACATCTTTCTGAACAAACCAGACTTACAGTTCCATCTTTCCATTTCAATGTTTGACATTCCTTCCCATCCTGCGTGAAAACTTACTACTGAACGGACACCAAGTGTTCAGAGGCCATCAGTGGAGCAGTCACGTCTGTGTATTTGGAGCATACCGGACGAGACAGCAAGAATCCAGAGGGCGGGTCTCATCTTCCCTGCTGTCTGCTCTTTGTAACATTGCTCGCAGTCCTTTTCTTGACCTCTTCTTTTCTTGGCACTCTCCACCTTGTGGTCGAGCGATGAATATACAGTAGCTGCAGGTTTTTTTCGAGCCTAATTGTTACTGTGATGTTTTCATTGCCTGTATCCTGATATTCAACCTTTCAACAATGAACTGGTAAACTATACTTAGTGTGCTTGAATTGAATTTGTCAGCAGCACTTGGGTCCAATTCTGCATGTTCTTGTTGATTAGGTTTCAGCTGAGCCAACTTGTAGTTTTCATCCTTCCAAAAAAGATTCGGCACTAACCCAGGAAGAAGCCATTATGTTGATATCATCTAGATTTTATAGATCCACATACTTGGTTACCGGATTTCCTTGCATCCGTTTTCTTTTGTGCTTGTCCTCATTAGGGTTGCACATGAGGTGAAGTCACTCTCGGCTGAATCGGGGTGTAAGGCTGGGTACAACCTGGACTGGGTCGCCAGTCAAGCACAAAACACGTGGACAGTAGATACAAAAAAAACCCCAAAACAAAACCCATTGACACTCACATTCATGGATATGAAGTGTACTGTTTGAAAACCTTTCAACTGACCTACGAAGCATGTTTTTTCAGATGTAGAGTAGCAACAACATCTCAACGGATGTTGCAACTGAGATTCGGACCCGGATTTCATGACCGAGGCAGACGCGCTAGTCACTGTTCAGAATTCTTTTCACGATAATTTATCAGAGTGACAACTGATTAACAAAATCTAAAATGGTTTTGACATTTTGTCCCACCTTAATTCCCCTGCATTATTCGTCCCAACCCCGATCCTGCCCTCTGCATTGTTATGGTTATCATCTCTCTTCTCTTTATCGTCATCCACATCACATCGCCCTTCTCGGTCTTCCTACCAATGCCCGCCTCTGTGAGTGTCATCATTTCCTCACCTCTAATGAAATCAGAATGAAGGTTTCTGTGCTAATGTTTTCATGGGCAGTGATCAAAAGAGCGGCTCTAAGTGAAGTGTAACCAGAAGCAGCTTCACTTCAGTGGCTAGTTAAAACATGCATTAAACATGTTAACATCGTAAAATGTTCAAGCATTGCTGACAAAGCAGCTCACTGCGAAGCCAAGGTCAAAAAAAAACAAAAACCCTCAATTCCCACTCTAAAATTTCAGCCCTATATTCTCAGAAACACAAACACACACACACACACACACACACACACACACACACACACACACACACAAACACACACACACACACACACAGGGATCAAATTCAAAATGCGTGAATATGACAAAAAAAAACATCAATAACGTTCATCACATCGAACATTAAATATCCTGTTTTTGTCGTGTCGGATATGAGTTGAATGATTTGCAAATCCACATCTTCTGTTTTTTAATCACATTTTACACAACGTCCTAATTTCATCTCAAATGGGATTTGTAGTTTCAGTCAGCCTTGGTAGGGAGAGCAAATGTGTGTGCTCTGTTATTGGCAAGGTAAAATGGGGACAGGTGCACCTAACAGAACCCAGGGCCGACACACACTGTTTTACATCCTCAATGTTACTGAACCAAGGCAGGAGCAAATCTGCCTCAAGGTCTTTCACAAACACAATGTGTGCTGCTCCTCTGCTGGTGACTCAGGGTCTTGACGCCATTTCCAGGCCTTAGTGGCAGAGTAAATGGATGATTGCTGCCTGTCTTTTTAAAAGACTTCTCTAAGCCCTTCAGCTCCCCATTCATTTTTACATACACCAGTCATGGATAAATCAATCAGTTGCTTTGAAATTAAAGGTAAGCGCGCTCGTGTGTGTGTGTGTGTGTGTGTGTGTGTGTGTGTGTGTGTGTGTGTGTGTGTGTGCGTGCGTGCGTGCGTGCGTGCGTGCGTGCGTGCGTGCGTGTGTGTGTGTGTATGTATGTATCATTTGTATGCACACACATACACACAGACATTATGGACTCACTGGCCTCGTTAATCACGTTTCAAGAATTAACTTCATATTATCATTCGTGCCTTTATGCAATATTTTGAATGTATTTTTATTTTCATTATACTCCATTAAGGTTTATTACCAGGTGTTAAGTCACTCATTCTAGCGTCTGTCAGCAATCCTTTGCTATTTCTTGGTATATTCTTAGATCCAGCACTTGAGCCACAATCATGTACTTACTAATGTTCAAATTCTGTCTGTTTTCACCTCCTCAGTAAACCCTTTCCCATCGGAGACAGAGTGACATTCAGTGGAAAGGACTGCGTGTGCCAGCACTGCTCTGGCTCACTGGCCAAGCCAAATGAACCTATCAAAATCCACGGGCCCAGTCGTAAGTCCAGCATCTGCCTTACTTTCTCTCTTCTGTTGAGAGCCGCGCGACGCAGACTCTAATTTGATGTGTCCATTAGCCCACTTAGCACATTTAGCTAATCAAGTTTCTGTCAGATCAATGTGCCCAGCGAAAATGATGCAGTTTAACACACTCATCATTCGTTGCTGCCAACACTAAACATCAAGGGTAGCTCGATGTCTGTTAATAGCATGGGAAGCATGATCATATATATTTCATCTAACTTTCACAATGTTGAAGTGCTGAATTATAGGAGAACATTGCGATTCCTCTGTAACATTTCTGAGCGTAGCTCCCTCAGCTACCTGTGTCAAATGTGCCTTCTGCCTTATAACTTCAAATCGCTCTGGAAGAACAAGAGATTTCTGGCCGTCATCACACAAATGTATCATTACTCAGGAGAAAACTGAAACTGAAAACAATTCCGGATGAGATGAGAAATAAAGTATTATCTTTTAATGATCCATCGCTGTCACCACTGAATGACAGTTTCAATACATTCGGCAGCAGCAAACACACTGGAAGTGCAGCAGTTTTTCACCACAAAGTGCTGTTTGTCTTGGTTGAGAGTTTGCCGAGGGAAGTGGTCCCTTTGCTAGCGTGCATACTTCTCCCATGCCTAAGAAAATGCCCTGAAGCAAAAAGGGACTTTTCCTTAGTAGTATAGACTGATACTCATACAGATAAATTTTTTTCTTGTGTTTAAAAAAAAAACTGCATGAGAATTGGACCTTGAAAAACTAATCTCAATCACAATATTGCCAGAAAAAAAAATCCCGATAATTTTTCAAAAGCGTTGAGCTCTTGTGTGTACCCCCCACCCCCAAACCAGATGTTACTACCAATACTGAAGCGTGAGAGTCAACATGGTGCTATTGGGCTAATCTGACAATTAACTGTGATTTCAAAATGGTGTCCTTGTCATTTTTATTGTTGCAAATGCCTTGCAAGACACTCCAGACAACCATGTACTCCTCTGTTTGTGTCCAACAATAGCTCCAGCTTCAAGCTGCTTCCGAATTAGCTATCCTTCTATTTCGGCCAGGATAATACTTTAAGAGACAGACAATCTGAATTTGATCGAAAGGGGCTCACATTCCACCTTATCAGTATGTGTTTGGTCTTGAAGGAAATAAAATTACACTTTGACGGGATACCTCTGACTGCTTGTGCTTCTGTCTCCTCTTCTTTCCTCTGTATCTTATTTTCTTCTTTGTCTTCTGTTGCTCAATTCCCCACTCCCCTCCCCTCCTCTTCTGTTTTGTTCTTGCTCTTTTTGTCCAGACTGTGCCGGATGTAGAGCAGAGATCAAGCAAGGTCAGTCTCTCTTGGCGCTGGAGAAGCAATGGCACATCAGCTGCTTTAGATGTCAAACGTGCAACATGGTCCTCACCGGAGAGTACATCAGCAAGTGAGCATGAAAAGATGAACAGAAAACACAGTACTGCGGAGTGGGTCTCCAAGTTGAATCCCCCTAAGGTCATAAAAGTCCTCAAGAATGTCATAATTAACTCTGGGCAAGTGAGTTGCTATTTCTTTGATTTTTCAGTGATTTGAAACTCATCAAAAAGGAAGTGGTGTATTTGTGAATGACATTACGATTTCATTGTTTCAACTTTTTTATTGGTGTGACTTAAGCCTGTCACATAATTGTGAATAGAAGAATGTGAAAGAAAAATCTACTGGGTAAGATCTTCAATTGAAGTGGGATTGTGAGTTTCTATATATTAATGTACTTATACACTTATAGGACAATTTAAAATGGTACATTTAACATTGCATATTCCTTTGAGGAAAGGTTTTATAAGGGCAACCGTTTGACCCTACCAGATAGTTCCTGCTTTCATAATTATCTGGAAAAAAAGTGGAAACAACAAATTAGGCATTCAGAGGTCCAAGAATGAATTAAAATTTGAGTTTGGAGATTTCTCTCGACCGTTTACTTTGACTTTTTGGAGCCATGGAAGCTTTTTTGATGTGTTTCACTGTCGCAGGGATGGAGTGCCATACTGCGAGGCGGACTACCATGCCCAGTATGGGGTGAAATGCGAGGGCTGCTGCCGATACATAAGTGGAAGGGTTCTGGAGGTGAGAATGGAGAACACTTTCAGCAGTGGCACAATTCTAACAGAGATTTCTCTGTGTTGATGACTGCAGTAATTGAGAAATCCTCAAATGGGAGACAACTGTGCTAACTGAGCATAATCAGCCTTATCGCAATTGAGCAGTCACATTTCATCCTCGGCTCTGTTTAAGCCCCTCTCTACTTGGGGAGTGTGCGATTTACGATTGGAGAGTGATAAACATTTCGACCTACTCTACGAAACCAAAACATCCGCAATAGTTGAAGGTCCATTCTGTTTGAGGATGAAGCGGTTTAAGGTTGGTCACGGGTTTCAGTCAACCATAAATGGTTGACTGAAACCCCTGTAAAGTTTCAAATGATTTGTAGTGTCTAACCGTTGAATTTTTTTAAAAAAGTTATTGTGATTAAGTGATTTAGCATCTGTGAGTCGGGCATCATTGCAGACACATTTTAAAGTTCGGCAAAACATGGCAGAAAGCTGTTCAAGTGACGGTGGTAGATTTTCACTTACAAAAAGGAATTGGCAGAAAGGAGTTCGGAATTTATGAACTTTGGTTTGAATCAGGTTAAGGTTAAAAAAAAAAACATGCGATAAGAGCAAATTTGTTTAAAAACTTTTTAATGGAAAATTATCAGGGGATTTGGATTGTACTAATGAAAGACATTTAGCCGAGATTGATTAAATACCTTTGGATGGTTTTCTGGCATTCGGATGTAACACACACACACACACACACACACACACACACACACACCGATACGCACACAGACACTCACGCATGCACACACGGTGCCTTGTTGTCCCTGAGCTCCTTTGCTCATCAGAACGCTTGGTGTAAAATGCTTTGTTCCTCTCCGAGTTATTTATAGACACAGAGAAATGTCCGTCTTTATCAGTAAGTCTTTCACTCTCACCCTCTGTCTCCCTTTCCTGCTTATATCTGCGTCTCACTCAAGGAACGCTCCTGTGCACGCATATTGCTTTCACCAGTCAGAGTTTGATGCTCCAGCGACAGGCTTTTTATGGACAATGCAATTAACTTCATGGGAAATGTATTGACGCATGGAGCTGATGTAGCTTACTGGATGACATTCCTCCATTTCCGATACTGCTCATCCTGTTCGGAGTCGTAGAAAGTTGCATCATATGCCTTCTGAGTTCAGGCGAAAGGCAGACTACACTCTGAGCTGGTTGTCGGTCACTCACGGAGCACATATCGAGACAGACAAGACAACCATTCACACTCACATTCGCACCGCCAGTGAGTGGAAACTGAACTGCTGTCAGTTTGGAGTCAATGTTGATGTTTGAGCTTGCCGGCGTGGTCTCCAGGAGCACAAAGCTCAATGTCGTTACTCAAATGCATTGCCACAGAAGAGAATCTGAAGAGGTGGCATCTTCCGTTACTTTGTTTCACCACTTTCTTCTTTTGCAGAATATCATCCATCCATCCATGCATCCATCCTCGATGCCAGTTTATCATCAGGGCAGTCAGAATTTCAGTTTCATATCAAGAGCAGCCTCTTAATGCCTCAGACAATGCAGCACTTATTCCAGCTGTTGTACAAATAACATACCATATGACCACCGACACTAAGCTCTTTGTTCTTGGAAATCATGAGACAAATATTCATTCGTCTTCTTCTTCTTGAATATACTGCAGTTATTACAGACAGACAATTTCCTGCAAGTCACATAGAATGTGTTTAGTTAAAAACAGAAAACGTATCTGCAGGTGTCAGCATCTAAAGTCGATGATGTTAACAGCATGCAATATACCTGCTCGGTCTCAGTGAATTAAGATGAAACAGCTCAGGCCTCTTTGGCACATCACATACATGTCGGCAGAGTGTCTATAAATAGCAATTCCCTGATGGTGTGTCAGAAAGGTAGAGTTGATGGTTTGGGGGCACGCCTTCGACGTCAGCTCCACTGAGACGCATGGGTGAGAACTCTGCATTTAGGACGAGGCTGGATTCAATGGAATGGTGTTGGCTTCGATGTGGTGACACGCTTGTGTCCTTCACTTGCATGGTCACATCCTTCTTTCCTTATCTATGACAAACACACACACACACACAAACACAGAGTGTATTGTCCACACTCACTTCTACACATCTCATATCGACAGACCCGCGGGGATATCTGCTAATTTTGTCAGGGGCTGAACAGGAGTTGGCTTGCATGTGATTCGAACAAATACACGCGATCTGCTGAGGATGTCTCAGTGAACTGTGAGGCCATTGTGACCATGTGTTAAACAGATGACATATTTAGCAGACTTTCAAAGAGAATTGTTTCACCATTTAGCAACAGTTCCCAGTTGTCTTCATAAAACGCATCTAAAAAACATGAAAAACACAAGCACACAAAAAAAAAAAACTGATGGCATTGTGTTTTCACTCGTACTTCATGACAAGCTTTACACTTTTTCACGACTGCAGTACATCCATGTATGTGGCAGACACATCATCAAAGACAAATACTCCTGCACCAGGTATACAACTTGCCAAGTATATGTGCCGCCTGTCAAAAGCTAACATTTGTAGCACTGCTAGCTAAGGCAAATCTATGCTAACTTTGTTAGTTTGTGAAACATTTGGCTTTAAGTGACAGTAGTTTGGTGGCAGACTGGAAAATGACAGACAGATTTTCAGAAATAGGCCGATGAAAGATTTACATGGTTGTTTAATTTGACTCTTGATCTGTGCATGGGCAGGCCCTCCAAAGACACAACTATTTGCATGCAAGCAATTAAAAAGTCACGTTTCCATAACATGTCCCCTTCAAAGTGGGGAATTGAGGTTAAATCTCTTGGGAATGTTTGTTCTTCTTTCCTCATTAAGGCTGGGGGGAAGCACTACCATCCAACCTGTGCCCGCTGTGCTCGCTGCAACCTGATGTTCAAAGAGGGAGAGGAAATGTATCTGACAGGTGAGCTATGACACGCAAGCACACACACACACACTCCTCTGGCATGTGCAAACAAACACATTAATATGTAAAATCTCCACTCTCGAGCTGATCTCTGTCCTTCACTCTGGCTCAGGGTGTGAGGTGTGGCACCCGTTATGCAAGCAAGCAGCGAGAGCAGAGAGGAGGCTCAGGGTGAGCTGGATACTCAGGGTTCTATTTGTTGGGTTAACAAATGTGTTCAAATGTTGGGTTCTCAATACTCTGTACTTGTTTTTTTTTTCTTTTGGGGTGTGGTGGTACCTCACAGCACAGACGCCTGTCAGAGACCTCCATCTCTCCTCCAGGCTCATCCATTGGCTCTCCCAATCGGGTTATATGTGTAAGTAGCCACTTGTCTTTGCATCGTGTAGTCCCTCCTGCTAGCACCAGCACAGAGACAACCCTTAAATTAGAACACGCACAAAAGGACTAAAAGACTATTCCGTGAATTGAGTGCTAAGCACCAACCTGAGGGCTGCTCACTCCCATGGCCTGTTCACTTTCTGTGCTCCTGTATGTCACAAATTGCAGTTTCTTGTTGTCGTATTGTACAAACAACACAAGAAGAAACGAACTTACCTGAATGCATGTGTGTCTTGCTTTCCTTCCTTCAATGTTTTGTATCCATAAAGGTTTATGGTTACAATATTGATCAGTGTCAAAAGCGGAGTCTTTGCATCTCCTCTGCACAGTGGTCGTGTGTACCCACTCAGCTCACCATTTTTGGATTAGTTCTTGCTGCAAGTGGAGTACCAGTAGTTAACCGGCCAGAGTTCCAAACTTATCCAGTGAAAATTGTATTGTTGCCATAAACCCGGGAGTGCCTTTTGTTGTGCTTGCTACAGCATTACGCACGACAGTCTCCACCACTCGACATTTTCTACATTTGCTCTGTTTTCTTGTTGTCCTTCATCTTTTCTCCAATCCTTAATGACTCTTTGTCATTGGTACATTTGGACTAAGGGTATCTCTCCAAAGTATATTTTGTTATACTATAATGTCTTTTTTCTGTAGTACTACGGTGACACCAACTACCAGCGACAAATTATTGTGTTGTACAATACTTGGCCAATAAAGATGATTCTGATTCTGCCCATCAGCCACATGCCTTCAGACAAACACAAAGCCGAAGGAGAATATGAATCCTTAAAAATAAAGAGACAATAATCATATATAAGTCAATTATAATTTGTGATCCAAATTCTCAGACACATTTGTACCTGCAAATCAAGAGATACACTGAGCGGCCACTGCGTTCTGATCACTTGCACTCCTCCTATAATGTTGTCCAACGCAGCAAATCATTACGTGGTGATCATAATGCCATGGCTGGTCAGTGATTCATAGTATATTTAGGACTCAACAAAGTTAACTAAGTCAGCAGTGATGACTGTCATTCTGTCTCCCAGAATTCCATTCATATACTGGACATGTCATGGCGCTCTGCACGGCGGACCGCTGAGTGTTGCTGCGTGTTGTCAGTGTGAGCATGTGGTTTCCGCATGCAAGTGGGAGTCACTGCTCTCTGCTCGGCCATGCTTGGCTTCCATCTCTTAATCAATGACCTTTGTGGTTAAGGTGATGAATGAGGGACAAATGCAGTATAAGCACACGTGCCTTCCATGCTGTTTCCCCTCCTCCTCCCTCTCTCGAGCTGTCTTTCGTCTTGAAGGTCAACGACTGTCAAGACACTTCAGATGTTCGCGCCGCACATGCATTCATACATGTGCTTGGGCAAGGTGTTCGTGTGTCTGCTTAGAATGCTCCGTGGCCGCATGTTCTGTTTGCCATCGCTGGTGGACTTCCCACACGACTGTTTCTGGGTGCCGTTCATGTGGTTGCTGTTGTGTCTGTGTTGGTGGTTGTGTGTGTGTTTGTCCTCTCTCCAGGCCAGATTGGCGAATGAGTTCCTAGATTATAAGGACCTAGCTGCCCTCCCAAAGATCAAGGCCATATATGAAGTCCAGCAGCCAGACCTGATATGCTCCTCATACCAGCCGTACCAGAGATACACCTCTGATGACAGGCTAGACATGACTTACAGCTATGGGGAGGTACAACTGCTGCACACTCCAGGCCAAATGTGGCACTGGTCTGTAATTTAAGGAGAATTTTCCTTTTTTTTTTCCAGACAGACACCCCAGTAGAAACGCATATCTCTTTGCACGCTGCATTTTTATTAGGGATAGATGAAATACCATCAATGAATAAATCGATGAAACCAGCAATTGCAAATTTCGGTAGGGCTACTTTAAGATGTATTTAAATGAAACTTCATGTTCGCACTGTTGGAATTGACTCATCTCAGTTGGGCTCCAAAAGCTGCTTGGTTCTGATTATTCTGATGTATGGACGCTTGCCAAGGGGCAGCACAATACATACAGTACATAATCTGTATTTTCTTACTTTGATGAATTGCTGCTTTGAAATAACATGTCTGCCTTGTTTGATTCTGCAGTCACTTGGGACACTATCTCCCTATTCTCAGGTAGGCATTCCCCTTCACACTGTTTTGGCAAGAGCACTTAAGATCAGTTGAAACCACTGCTGTGTTTTCATTTGGTCGTCTCGTTCTTTCCACCTCTCGCGTGTCAAGGACTATGATTGCCTGGACATGAAGCACAGGCGATGCTCCAGTCCAGGTTACATTGACACCCCAAACTACAGTCGTCAAGGCATGTCACCCATCATGCCTCGCTCTACGCAGCACTTTGGTTATCCTGGTGAGCATTTCAATAAATTGCTAATCAAGTCATATAAACAAAAATGTTTCCATATTATCGGGAGCAGAATTTTCTCGTTGGCTCTGATGTGGCAATTATATCATGTCACTTTGTTATGTACGAAAGTGAGGACCCGGTCGTTTTCTTGGATGGGAGAAATTGGTGCTGAGAGTGGAGGAATGAGAGGGAATGTGGGTGAATGGAGGGTAACTTTGAGGGTGTTCTTGATGAGGAATTAGCATTTTAACATGGCTAAAAGCTCCAAAAAGTTGATTTAGCATGATATGGCCCCTTTCAAAGTTAGAAAGCAATAAAAAATGTGCTCACGATTCCTCTCTACCGTCTCCATCTTGCAATACATTTTATTGTGTCGCAGAACGCCATAGTAAGCCTCACAAAAAGCTAAATGTGCATTCAATCCTTTGATGCTGAGGTCCGGCATGACATGCTAACATCTAGCGCACCATCCTGCATGAATGGGATTCATTTTTCAATTTCTCAAAAACTGTTCTGTATATCATTTGATGTGATATTAATTTGTAACGTTTTGATTCTTACAAGCTTTTTAAACTGCGATTCAGTACTTTAGTGATATTTTGGTGTGGGGGGGGCCTCATCCAGCTTTCTTTGCTGTGATTGGCTGTAGGACCTGAGAGTGGAAGGAGCTCACCATACTACGGCCAAGAGGGACGGTCCAGCACACCGACCGTCATCCAGCCCCCAAAACATTTTCACGTACCAGGTAGGACTCCTCATCACCAAGCCTCTAATCACTCAGGAGGAACACCATCAGGTTCCTCGGTAGTGACAAGATGTGAACAACACTGTATGTCACAAAGTCTTGTTCTTCCACAAACATAATCCCTTTCGGCCTATCCTTCCTTTCATACGGCGTACTTGACCTTATTTTATCTTCCTTCACAGCCTCTCTTCTTCTCTTCATCCCATTGTTCCAAAAGCAACTCATGACCTCTAGCCTTTCCTCTTTTATGGCACTGCGTTTCAATTTTCCATCTCCTCTTTCTTTTTTTTTCCAGACAGACACCCCAGTAGAAACGCATATCTCTTTGCACGCTGCATTTTTATTAGGGATAGATGAAATACCATCAATGAATAAATCGATGAAACCAGCAATTGCAAATTTCGGTAGGGCTACTTTAAGATGTATTTAAATGAAACTTCATGTTCGCACTGTTGGAATTGACTCATCTCAGTTGGGCTCCAAAAGCTGCTTGGTTCTGATTATTCTGATGTATGGACGCTTGCCAAGGGGCAGCACAATACATACAGTACATAATCTGTATTTTCTTACTTTGATGAATTGCTGCTTTGAAATAACATGTCTGCCTTGTTTGATTCTGCAGTCACTTGGGACACTATCTCCCTATTCTCAGGTAGGCATTCCCCTTCACACTGTTTTGGCAAGAGCACTTAAGATCAGTTGAAACCACTGCTGTGTTTTCATTTGGTCGTCTCGTTCTTTCCACCTCTCGCGTGTCAAGGACTATGATTGCCTGGACATGAAGCACAGGCGATGCTCCAGTCCAGGTTACATTGACACCCCAAACTACAGTCGTCAAGGCATGTCACCCATCATGCCTCGCTCTACGCAGCACTTTGGTTATCCTGGTGAGCATTTCAATAAATTGCTAATCAAGTCATATAAACAAAAATGTTTCCATATTATCGGGAGCAGAATTTTCTCGTTGGCTCTGATGTGGCAATTATATCATGTCACTTTGTTATGTACGAAAGTGAGGACCCGGTCGTTTTCTTGGATGGGAGAAATTGGTGCTGAGAGTGGAGGAATGAGAGGGAATGTGGGTGAATGGAGGGTAACTTTGAGGGTGTTCTTGATGAGGAATTAGCATTTTAACATGGCTAAAAGCTCCAAAAAGTTGATTTAGCATGATATGGCCCCTTTCAAAGTTAGAAAGCAATAAAAAATGTGCTCACGATTCCTCTCTACCGTCTCCATCTTGCAATACATTTTATTGTGTCGCAGAACGCCATAGTAAGCCTCACAAAAAGCTAAATGTGCATTCAATCCTTTGATGCTGAGGTCCGGCATGACATGCTAACATCTAGCGCACCATCCTGCATGAATGGGATTCATTTTTCAATTTCTCAAAAACTGTTCTGTATATCATTTGATGTGATATTAATTTGTAACGTTTTGATTCTTACAAGCTTTTTAAACTGCGATTCAGTACTTTAGTGATATTTTGGTGTGGGGGGGGCCTCATCCAGCTTTCTTTGCTGTGATTGGCTGTAGGACCTGAGAGTGGAAGGAGCTCACCATACTACGGCCAAGAGGGACGGTCCAGCACACCGACCGTCATCCAGCCCCCAAAACATTTTCACGTACCAGGTAGGACTCCTCATCACCAAGCCTCTAATCACTCAGGAGGAACACCATCAGGTTCCTCGGTAGTGACAAGATGTGAACAACACTGTATGTCACAAAGTCTTGTTCTTCCACAAACATAATCCCTTTCGGCCTATCCTTCCTTTCATACGGCGTACTTGACCTTATTTTATCTTCCTTCACAGCCTCTCTTCTTCTCTTCATCCCATTGTTCCAAAAGCAACTCATGACCTCTAGCCTTTCCTCTTTTATGGCACTGCGTTTCAATTTTCCATCTCCTCTTTCTCTCCTCAGCCTCAGGGGAGCCCAACATCTACAGGAAGCCTCCCATCTATAAGAGAACGGGTACCGTGCAGTTAGCCCCGCCTTAGCCTGCCTGTCCTCCTGTCAGTGTAGTCATGCTGTGCTTCGACAACGATGTCATTACTGATCTGTCAGTGTCTTTCAACATCCCCTTAGGACCAGCTATGGATTAGTATTGATGTTCCAATTGTTGTTAGTTCAACTACAGCAATAAAAAAAAAAGCCTTGCTAGCAACCACGAACAGCACTTGACTTGCTTCATTTATCAGTGGTGAGATATTTAAGATTTTGCCACAGAGGAAGTCCACTCTGCTCAGCTGTCACGCTTTTTAATGTGTGGGGAAACACCATATCACATGTTTAGAACATGCATACAACAAACTGTATTATAATCGAAAGTATTTATTCAGTACAGAGATGATTAGGATTCTACCGAGATGGTTGATGACTATTCAGCAGCCATCCACTGGAAGCTGCTGTATTAGCTGCTGAATTTTAACACTCTCCAAACACAAGCTGCTCTGTTTGCTTTTTTTACAAATTGACCATGTTCTGAATCCACGGTTATATGACATAAGCACAGTAGTTTAGCAAGTGGCCTTGATTTTAGTTTTGTGTTTTTTGTGCATGTTACACGTCTGTCCGTGAAAATTATGCTAATTACATGACAGGCTGTAATCTATCCATGCACTCATGAGAATCTTCAATAATGAAACCCAACTGAACTGAAACAAAATGTGAAAAAGTGATGTGAGACCAAATTTCCAAGAGTTGCACGGCTGGGGATTACAGGCCCGTTATGTACTACTTAATAAACATGCTTATTTTATTTCATATCTGTCAGTTTCTGCAGGCTAGAGCTATTTATGGCCTACGGAAATATCTTTTGGTGTTATTCACAATGGGGCATATTCTCGCGTGCGCTCTTAAGTCAATCCCTTACGCGGCTTTCGAAACTTTCAAAATGCAGCGATTCACCCGCCTGTAGATTTGAACGAACCTCCCATGCGTAACCTGGAAATATGTGCGCAACCACAAAGAGGCGTGATTTGGAGAAGTCCTGAGCGTGGCCCTACTTTTCGGATTGTGGAGTTTTCATGAGACATAAGAATTACATAGAGATCTATTTTATCCAATACAAGCAATTTCAGAATTCAATCAGAATACCCCCTGTGATTGGCTGGCAACCGGTTCAGGGTGTCCCCCGCCTACTGCCCGAAGACACCTGGGATAGGCTCCAGCATGCCTTGTGAGGATAAAGCGGTTCAGAAAATGGATGGATGGATGATTCAGGATACTGTGCTCATGGTTCAAAACTGAGGAAATGTTGCACATGGAGACTTGGCCAGGTTGCCAGGTATCAAATACACCCAAAATCTGTATTTTAAGGCCCATTATTACGATGACTGACCGTATTTGTGACCGGCACTTTAACTGCAAGTCCCATCAGCATTTGGAGATGTTCCTCAAAGTCCGCTGGCACTCCTCCGTTTTTTTCCCCATTTAATATGATACAATGGCAACATTTTGCCGTCACTGCCATGTCGTAGGACTGTTGGGCAGTCAGTGACGCGTATATGAGACAGGTGTGCCCCCAGCCCGGCCCGCACATCAGCACAAATGAGCCGATTCGTCGAGTGACAGTCATCACTCGTTGTCAGTGGCTGTCAAATGACTCAAAACATGCAACATGATCTTTTGCTTTCGAGAGGTGCTAGACCTTAGTACAGCCTTTAGAGCGCGGAAGACAAGAGTCGCTAAGTCTACGGGAGAATGCGCGCACTCACATCGCATTTGTACATTTATGAAGATGCGTAAGTGACACACTTAAGCAGCTGAAACAGTGCACATCGGCACGCCTTTTCTGACTTAGGCAAATGGGAGAATATGCCTCTATATGCGTGGTTAGTGTGTCACATCTCCCACAGGGGTGCTCCAGTAACATTTCCCTTTTCTTTTCACCTCTTTTTTTCTTGCATCCAATCACATTTTTTCACTCCCCTCCACATTCCTGCTCCATTTAACCCGGTGACCTTGCCACTGTAAGTAATCTCTCTCGTACTCGCTGTTCCACTCAGTCAGTCCGTAGATTCTATTCATGTCTGTGTCTCTCTTTTCGTTTTGGGAACGCCATGTCAGCACTGTACAGCCTACACAACTTTGCTGTGAACGTACTTGTGTACATCTGTATGTGGTGTGAGGCAAGTGGAAAGCGTGTGTCTCAAAGATAACAATGTCCGTCACCGGTGTCATGCATTGTGCGGATTGGAATTCAATGCATCATGGATCAGGGCCGGCATGGTTACTGGCTAACAGAGCGAGGAACGATCCATGTGACATTACACTGCATGTCAAGCCCATTGACTTCCATTGACTGTGCTTTTGTGCAGAGTGACAATCAATGTGATTGCTTCACATTCATGAAACGACAGCCCGCCTCAGGCTGGGCCCTTACAGGACTCGGGTTAAAAGAGCCTATTTTCTTGCAGTTGGCTGAAACGTCGATTCCCTCGAACGATGTAGAAAAGTGAATGGGGCTGTGAAGGAGAAATGAACATTTTTGTGATTTTCATGAGCTTGTTTTCCTTCCACGTAAACTCCACGTATCTTAAGCGTCCTGTGTTAGGCTATTTTCTGAAATGCACACGGTACTTTGAAAGCCTGCACACCCAAATTCAATTGCCATTCCGTTATTTACATTTCAAGTGTCACATTGGCAAGTATCTGACATTATATTTGAAAGAAGCCTGGCTCAGATGGAAGCATGTCTTATTGTGTGGCTTTAAGCTTTATGAGAATTCTGCAGTTGGGAGGGAAAAAAAAACAATTGCAACCATGTTAGCAAATGTAGCCTCGAGGCCAATGCGGCACTTTATTAAGAACTGTTTGTGGAACCCTGAGCAATAGCAAATCCATCGCTTGTTTTATTTTGGCATCGACATGTGAGCCTGAGTGGTGCAATTAGGCAGATTGGTTCAATCTTGAGATGTGATACAACCAGGTATTGTAGCCAAATCTTGGCTGTCTCTTTTAAAATGTGGTGGACGCAGTTTTTGGATGTGTGGCGTTGTCTCTCTAGTTTGTGTTCTCAAAAGTTCAGCATCTAAACTAGGACACAGCTCATTTATTTTGCGTATTTCACTGCTGTCCCCTGTGCTAAGGAGCCCGTCCGTCTACAGGTGCTGGCAATTCACTCCTCAGGCAGGTGTGACTATGAGCAAAGATAAGGCCACGCAATGCCTTTGTCGCTAATATGGAAGCCATTTTTGTAAGCCGTACACACATACATCTCATATATTGTGAAGCTGAAAGGGAATTTTCCGGTATGAATCGGAGGATAATTAATTTTGTAGAAATCCTGTTCGTCTCGGCAAAAAAAAAAAAAAAAAAAACACGGTGACACATCTCTTTTCATTCTGGTTTTCTGGCTGCACTGCCAACAGCCCCATTTATCAGCAGCCTTTTTGAATATTTAAAGCGGCAAAAGCAGAGTAGCAAGCAAATTGCAGATGACAAATTTGGGCTGGCCAAACTCACTAATTCATCCTGGCAGCTATTTAAACATTTGACAGACCAACATGTCATATTTGATTGGTCTACGATCACTTATATATGATTTTTTTTTCCTTTGCCTGTATTCCTTCTCTCTCCCAAATATCTCCTTTTTTCACAGACAATCATCTGAACGCAGCAACCAAAAGTAGGACCAGTGAGGATATCCTGACATCCTCCCAACTCTCCACCTATTCTCCTGAGCCATACACCCAGTCGGAGTGTGACTACTACCCATACGGCAGCTCCCCCAGGGGTATGGAAGACTCGTTTCACTCCAAATGGTTTACTGCTTACACTGGACCCAAGTCTTCACAGTATACCTGAGCTCCCTTTCACTCAGAAGGGAATGTCTTTTATCTTTATTTCTGCTCAGCCTATCGGGTACCACGGAGACGGTTCTCAACAGGGGGAGATGAAGAGAGTTGGAGTCACGGTCTTCAAAGAGTAAGCGCTTCATTACCCTCCCTGCTTCAACATAGTGTCAGAAACACCATGAATAATGCATATCGTAGGTTATGGTACCTGAACGATCCTCCTTGTTTGTTCCTCTAACACGACTTGTGCTCTGCACATCAAATTTCTCTTTCTCAGATTGGGAGTGGCATAGGGAGGATGATCCTAAAGGAGGAGATGAAAGCCAGATCTGGTTCCTATGACAACGACCCCTGGGGCAGTGCAAGGAATTCTCGGAGTGGGAGCAAGGAAACCCTCAACACTACAGGCTACAACGCCACGACTTACACCATTAATGGATGTAAGCGAGCACCCCGTTCCCTTATGAAGCCCCTTTCCTGAAGTCGCGACAACAGAAGTACGCAGCAGGAAATGGTCGTACGCAAACTATGCTTCAAGAAAGTGAACAAACCGAGACCAAAAGTTCACAAACCTAGACCAAAAGAGCACACGGAGACCCTAAAAATGCGAGTCCAAAAAGATATCAGGCTACAGATATCAGAAACTTGAAACGGCTTTGTAAAAATATTTTCATTGCTTTTATTTTATTCCTGAAAATGTCAACCTTTAGTTTTATGCCTCTTATTTGGATTGATAGCTGCATTTGTGCAAAAAAAATTGTTGGCTACTTTGCTTCTGTTTACATTTGATAAGTTTATGGGGCAGTGCTACTGGATGCAGTACTCTTTTGGTGCAGGTCCAAGGTCACAAAATAAAATGAGAAAAGATTAGCAGTAGTAGCATGCTGTATCTTTTTTTTTTTTTTTTGGAATAACTAAGAATATCATGATAAAATTTTTTCCAAATTGTCCTGCACCAGTTGAGGCTGTTATTTTAGCCTCTGACATTCACACTGTAGCTTGCCTTCACACCATCCCCTTTTTTTCCAAGCGCTTCTTTTCTTTTTTTTTTTTTTTGGAATAACTAAGAATATCATGATAAAATTTTTTCCAAATTGTCCTGCACCAGTTGAGGCTGTTATTTTAGCCTCTGACATTCACACTGTAGCTTGCCTTCACACCATCCCCTTTTTTTCCAAGCGCTTCTTTTCACTTGCATGCACCATCGCTTTCGTCATCTCCCTCTTTGCTGCTTTGCATGCTACTGTACTTCGATCTTACTTCTCATCCTCCTCCTACTTCTTCCTCGTCCGGCGTCTTCTCTACACGCTATTCTTCATGGCTCCGTGTGTGCATGCATGCATCCATCCATTCATGTGTGTATGAAAACTTCCTCGCTCTCCTGTGCACAGCTGGTGTCCCATATCCTGGTTTATTTATGAGCGTTAAGATCTCTCATTAAAGCCCTTTCACAAATGGGAGGGGACACAAGTGAACAGCACTCTGTTGGTTCTCGCTCGAAAACAACAAAGACCTGAAACCATATTGAGCGATTAAAATGTCTGCGTTTGATTTGCCTCTTAACTGGGCCTCCTTCTTCATATTGTACCTGTGATTCAGTGTGATCCTCCCAAGCAATTATAAAAATAAATAAATCTTGAGATTTTGAATATTTCATTGCCCTGAAAATACTATTTCCTTTTTACTGGTGCGGTTAAGACGTTTTAATGATCTGACTGTTTGCCTTTCACAGCTCCCCGATCTCAATACAGCACTGACGGTGGTGAGTGGATTTTTTTTAAATTTTAGGTACATGGACACACAGCGCTATACAAGTTACACATTCGTTTGAATAGTGAATGTTATAAAGTGTAAAAATTGTGACGTGTAAATGGTGGGATTTCAAATACAAATACCGCACGGTACTACTACGACCACCGCCATCAAATGTTTGTTAGAGGTGAGCGCCATCTTGTGGCAGTGGTTTGTCACTGATGCTACATTTCTATCGACGTGTCAAACCTAGAAAAATGACATTGCACTGCACTAATACATGTTTTTATTTTAGATTATGTGTGCAAGTCTGCGTCACTTCCAGGCTATGGACGCAATGGGATACAACGGGTGAGACGCCAGTGAATCCAACAAAGTGTTTTCCTGAGAATGTTTGGTACTTGTATGTAGTACAGTCTTGAAAAAGTATGCATGCCTCTGTAACTTTCTCACATTTTGCAACTTCACAATCACAAACTTGTGCCTATTTTGTTGTCTCCACTTGCTAAACGGACTCTGTTTGACTTTGAACCACCTGCAGCCTCAGAGTGCCGACTGCTACCAGTACCAGTACGACAGTAGCAACGAAGTCAACTGGGGAAGCCGAGGTACATGGAAATGTATTTAAAGCATTTTAATCTCATTTATTTTAATAAGTGGTAAAAGTGTGCTCCATTGCACTGCTTTAACTATCTGCCCTTTGAATTACAGCGGATTACAAGGTAAGGGTTTGACACTTGAGTCTATTTAGATGTTTGAAATCATCAGTGTTCATGAAGGTAAGAGAGGCCCATTTGGATTGCAGATTTACCCCTATGAAGCGCTCATTGTTACCACCAGGGGGAGGAACAGGCTTCCCAAAGATGTGGAGAGAGCCAGACTGGAGGTAAATTGTGCTCCTGGAACCAAGTTAACTGATTACTAATTCATACTAAGGCTAGAAATAAACAAGAACAACTCCGATGTGCGACAAGTAAAGTGATGAACATACGGGGGTGGGGGGTGTAGTTCAACTCTCGAAATACATTCTGGACTCTTTCTTCTTGCTGTTGAATTAGCCACGTGCTACTGAGCAGCCAGGACAGAAACACGAGCCACTCTGCTTTATACTACTGCCACTGTTCAAAGTTCCATTTCCAGCTCTAGTCAGGAGCATTGGACTTTTAGCATTTTACTGTATCACTCAACTGTTGCTTGTCCAGATCGAAAGGATCATGTCGAAATTTTACAGAAGAAACCGAAATCATGATATTGGTATAAGGGATTTCCTTCCCCACTCTTTCTCCCAGCGTCACCTGTCCCCAGAGGAGTTTGTCCAAGTGTTTGGCATGACCATCGAGGATTTCGACAGGTTGGCTTTATGGAAGAGGAATGAGCTCAAGAAACAGGCCCGACTCTTTTAATAGCGCGTGGACATCCGTTAAATGCTGCCATACATTTCGAGAGGAACTGATCAACTACGGAGATTTCTGCACCGTTTCACTGCCATGGCTGAGAACCTGTTCTAGATCTCGTCGAGCAATCAACCAAGTTGTGGCCACACCGGCACCGACTCGTGTGATTCAGAGACCTGTCTGCACAGGAACAGTGCTCGTGTGTTCACGTGCTGGAGTGATCTGTAAGCAATACAGACTGGGAAGTGGAGATGCCATCTTGTGCTTTTCTTTATTGCGAAAGGACTGAGGAAGGCACGTCCGCACCATACGAAATCAAAATAAATCAATAAATAACTACATCGGTTGCCCAACTTTGACACCGTGAGGAGAATTTTGGCTTTGCCTTATTTGTTACGCTTTTTACATATATTTTATGAGTGTGCAGCACCAGCAATCTGAATAAGTAGAATGTAGTTGAAGTATTACAATTTTGTCACTTTATTAGTGCAAAGGATACACGATGGATGAGAATTAGAATGTTTGCTTTGTTTTTTTTTTTTTTTTGCATTCTCATTACTTCTTCCCCCAGATTTTGCACTTTGACTAAAAATACGGTGTTGCTTTGTACTGACTAATAATAAGAAACAACGAGCAGTGGAAAGTACTTTCAAACGTATTTGACTTACCGGTACAATAAATTTGAAAAAACCAAAGTGAGCAAATACAGATTTGCAGGACACCGATGTCAAGGTTGCATGATTTAAAACGAATGGCAATGCATTTACTGTGTCGTTACATTTGACAACGTGCGATACACTTCACCGATAACAGAAGACAAGCCACCGACACCATGTTATCTTTCCGTTTGTTTTGGAGTTAATTGCACTAGAGCGTTGCAGACAGCGGTCACCCAAACAGATACAAAAGGAATATCTAATAATTTTGTAGCTATACAGGGGTTATGATCGCTAATGAAAAAAAAAATGCTGAGCAAGGATTTCTCCCATGTTGCTTAAAATTCTGGGTTGTTGACATTTTTTCCTTTGAACACTGTTATTTTGGATTTTGTTACTAAAATTAAACTTACACTCTCTGTCTCTCTCTTTGGTTACAATGTATTTTGACATATATAGCTGAATACTTGGTAAGTACTGTAGTGTATAAGATCAGTGACCATCTCAAACTGAGTAACATGATTACAGCGGTGGTTTGAAATCAACCTACCAAGCTTTCACATTTTTGTTTTGAATTAAATCATTGGTTAATTCATTACGATTAAATTCATTAGAACTACTGCAATTTGACGGGTTAGGGTTTGTGCGATCTGGCCTGTCTGTCCATTTTAAAAATCAAATGAGACATTTGAGCACAAACGTTGCAAGGGCACCTTGAAAGGCCCTGCATGTAGTGTTGAGCATTGCGTGGTAAATTAAGGTGGCCTACTTTAAATATGCAAAAATATCATTTTAGCCAATATTTAGATTACATATAATCCATAAATAGTTCACATGAAGCAACGTAAAACAAATTGATATAATAATTTTGTCTAGCTCACGGGTGCGTAAAGTATGCCAAAAAAATCACATGCGGTCTGCCCCATTCATTAATCTGGCCTGCTGATTTACTTTATCAAAAGTCTTGTATGATTTGTTCTATTCAGCCATTGTCCCTTGAATTGGTTCATTAAAAAAAAATTCCTTTTTTTTCCATTCAGCTCTTAAACCGGTTGATCAGTTGGATATCAGTAAAAATACAAGAAATAGATCTACATTTACTTGAAAACATAACATTATTCTGTGTTCATTTATCCCATTAAATTAGGGCTGCAACTAATGATTATTTTAAAAATCGATTCATCTGTAGAGTTAATTCGTCAACTTATCAATGAATCAGATCACCAAAAAAAAAGACATGACATAATTTACATCCTGACAGTGAAGAAAGCCGACGATAAGAAGAAAGGAGCGGCTTGGAATTGAAGCGGATTTATATGGGGCAGGAGATAAGAGCCAATCTCTTTTTCATTAATGGACGCTACAGGTTTTTGTTGCTTTCAAACTTAGCTTGAGGCAGACGTGTGCACATTTTCAGCATGACGTCTTTGATCCACTGGTGAAAAGGACACTTTGATTCGCTCCTCTTTCATCTATAACCGCTTCAAACAACAAAGAGTATGCAGGAAAAGTGGTTAAGATGCATAACTGTCTGTGTCTTCTGTGTTTTGTTGGATTATTTTGTCATTTTATGTTAACTGTTCTTTTGATGGCGGCGCGGGCACCCACAGCGTCATCTACAAATTACCTGGCCGGTCATTTTTGACTGATTGTAGAGTATCTCGGTAGTATCTGAATTTGTAGACAAGCTTTGACTTCCGGTAACATAATTTATTTGAGGCAAGAATTGGCAGGTGCTAGGACCGCGGGGAGCAGAATGCGGCCTCCCCAAAGTTCCTGCAGAAAGCGGTCCAAATGAGAGTCTTTATTCCACACAAGATTGAAGCTTGTCAACTACATCGCCGTGAAAGTGCATGAATTCTTATATGGACGGCATCCTCAGCTGCGGGATGACTTCAAACGGCACCAAATGTGAGTTCAAATTGATATTTTTTAACGTGTCAACTTTGTCAAGTGGGCGTATGAGGCGAAGCAACAACAGACGTGAACATGTTAGATGCGGTTCTTGGTTTACTCATGTAGAGTCATGTGAAATATGAGATTGATATCAGATCTTCACCGCCAGTGTTTTTTTAAAATCTATCTATCTATCTATCTATCTATCTATCTATCTATCTATCTATCTATCTATCTATCTATCTATCCATGGTGGTTTGTGTTGACACATATAACAATACAAAATATGTAATTGCTCATGAGTGTTGACTGGGAGTAGCAGCACGATTTCCCCCTGTACTGTAAACCATTGTTACTGGACTCAGAGCAGCCCACCTACCCCTCCTATGTGAGCTTTGACCTAAGGTGAGGTGCATCATTCTTTTTCATTTCACATGTAAAGCTGAGCCCTACCCGGTGGGCGTTGTCATCATTTGGGGGCCCGAGGCAAACCCAGTCACGGGCCCCTCCACACTCAATTCCAATTTTTTAATCGGCTTATCCTCACGAGGGTCGTGGACACACACATCCGTGGACTGTAAAGATTTGCATATTACAAAATGTCAACCCTTAGCAGTACTGCTGTGCTGAAGCCTCACAAGATTTGCTGACGTCACGTGACACCACGCAGCTACTTCTGAAGCAGATATTTCCAGAAAATTTTGATTGAACTCCAAATTGGACCACTTTTGGTACAATTCGCCATAATTTAAACATCTTGCAAACTACACACAATGGCAAGGCATAGTTTTACTCTTGCAAAGCCATGAAGCCTCATTGCAAGACTCCAGCCAGTTTAACTCAACTCAACTCAACTCAACTGTATTTATACAATACTGATTAAAGAAAGAAATTTTATGGACACTTGCACTCAGCAGACTATTACGGAAAGGACATAAAACTACATACATTGTGTTTTAACTTTTCTTTTCTCTTGGACAATGTTTCGTGGTATTACCTAACTATTTGCGCTGTAGTTTCTATCCAATCTGCTAAAATATAAGTACTATACATATACAGTATATATATATAATTTTTGGGTTTTTTTTGGAGTCACCATTAGATAATTGTAAATGTATCCTTGAATGGAATACATCTGGAGGGCCTTTGTCATAAAGTTTTGGTTCCTGTAGTCGTACAGATGCACTCTGAGCATCAGGTGGGTGAGAAAGAGGAGCGGCTGTCCCTATAGAGAAACAAACGCTCTGCGGTGGTTGAGATGTGTGTTTTGTAGCTTAGCAGCCATGATGAATTGAGGCCATTGTCAAGCTGCATGGAAGCATATGGAAGAAATTGTGGACTAAATAGACTGTGCGATAATGGCGCATGAATATACAGCCCCTGCAAACATAATGACTACCCGCTCCCTCGATGCAAATGAGTATTTGTTCAAAATGATTGACAGGCCATTTCTGGTGACACAAAGCTGTATGCTCATGATATCAGCAGCGTGATTATGCACCCTGCTGTCGTCACCGTGGTTCATGTTTGCGACCCCAGTATGCTTGCATGCAAACAATGCTACTCCATATTGTTCGTATTGGGAGTTGACTCCAGTTGCACAAAACAAAGTGCTTGTGTTTGTCACAAAATTCAACACGGTCATTGTTCTGAGTCCGATTTTGCAGCAGAGGACAAGGAAAGAGGAGCCTTCACCGCATCAGTAGAAAGTCATCCTACGCTTCATATCAATGTCCCCTTCGGTTTCTTTTTGTTTGACCTTTTGGCACCTCTTCCCCGGTGTGCGTAGTAAAGCAAAGTGCTTTACTACGCACCATCTGCCAAACAACACACTGTTCAGGATTCTGCAAATACAGTGAAACCTCAGATTTGATTGTATTTCAAAACACTTTCACAAGAATGATGATGGAAACATTCACCATCGAAAACCTTCAGCTTAAACACATGTTGGTTTTGTTTTTGATAAATTCCAATCTATTAATGAAGTCCTTCGAATGACAGTGGAAAAAAAAATCTGTTCTAGTACATCAGTGTAATTTATTCTTATTTTTATTATTTTTTTTTAAAATGTAAATATAGGTGAAGTCATTGCTAATTATATAACATAGGGCGTACCTCCCCTATAGGAAGTTTAGCCGAAGGAGATAAACGTAGGCGAATGTAGTTCCTCAACATGATGACTACAGCAGGTGTAACAAATGCCATGCGCTTAGTTCATCACTTGAGGGAATTTTAGAAGTCATTTGGGATGACATTTTGCTTGCACCTTTGCTGAAGAAATTGATGGGAGGCTTGCCAAGTGTGGTCTCTCTCAGGCACTGGACTGCACGTGCTTTAAAATGCACACGCTTTGAGTTGAGGTCATTGCATTCTCTTAGCTCACCGGTAGATGGCACTAAATTGTACACATCCGTCTATCCAACCATTTTCTGATCCGCTTTATCCTCACAAGGGTTGCGGGGCGTGTTGGAGCCTATCCCAGCTGTCTTCGGGCAGTAGGTGGAAAAATTCTACACGGTGTACCTTTTTAATATGCTCACGTACATTTGACGGGATTTGATGAAGTCTCGTGTGGCATCATGCTTGGTGGCAGTTAGACTCGACTGGTCTACTTCCACAATTTGAACTTCACAGGCATTCAAAGATCATCTCTGAGTTACATTTTATTCAAACTTTAATGTAGACACTGCTGTGTCAGGGGCTAGCAACTGTATTGTCAGTGAATGTTATTCTCAGAAATGGAGGAAGCCCAGCTACAATAACAACATCCAGGATATACTGAGAGGGAATCTCCTGTCTCGTTTATTGTATTTTGATGTGTAAAGGCTTTACCTGCTTCCTAAACATCAACAGAGTGCCCTTGAGCAAGGAACTGGACACCCCAATGTGTTTTATTGAGCCTCACCTTAATGCTTATATTTTTCGCTTCCAGTATACCCGTCAAGGTACAATTATACGTAAGCACCCTGTAGAGAGATGTGTGGTACAATACAGCGACTCCACTTGCATCTTTCTCAGTGAATACTTTAGTGTGAGGCAAACATAGCGTTGCGGTGAGCTCATTGGACTGTGCACTGAATAAGATCGAGTGCACTGTAGGGTCTTTGTGTGGCAGCAGGCTGAGTCAGGCCCTCACTGTCATCTCAGACATGAATTAATCACACAGAAAGAGATGAAGAAAAAAAAGAATGGCAGAGGGGCTTTTCCAGACGCATCCTTTCCTCGTCGGTGACCTTTGACCTCCAACCATTTCTTGACAAGCCAATGCCCATTTGTCTATTTTCAGTATCTGTCATGGGCTAGTGCATCAAAAAAGCATTTGGAAACATCGGGGAAAATCCCCAGTGAGTTCTTTTCAAGTGCATTTGAAGGTCATGTACGTAAACTATTAACAAAGGTTAGATAGGATTTGGAGGAAGTCATGGATAACAGCGGACATTTAGGATAGAAGCGTTTTATGTGGAGTTAGTGGAGGGAACACTGTCACTTAGCAAACAATGGGAAACATTGTTGCTGTGTGTCCAAGCATTA